TCCATCTAACTCTTCTTTCTTTAAGTTCAGATGTCTTTAACCATTGGAGGGCAAAGTGGTCAGTTACCAAATAGAAGTAATTAGTTCCAAGATATTGATGAAAATGTTCAACAGCCCAGATAACTGCTAGACATTCTTGTTCAGTAATAGAATAGTTTTGCTCAGGTTTGGTCAAACTTCTGCTAGCATATGCAATGGCATATTCTTGTTTTCCTTCTTGTTGAGCAAGTACTGCTTCCAATCCAATATCAGAAGCATCGGTATGGAGATAAAATGGTTGATTTAAATCAGGATATCTCAAGATTGATGCAGAAATTAAATATCGTTTTAGCATTTGGAATGCTTTTTCTTGTTTTTCAGTCCATTCGAATAGTACTTGTTCTCAAGAAGTTTATTTAATGGTTTGGCAATAATTGAGAAGTTGGCAATGAATTTTCAATAGTAGAATGCTAATCCTAAGAATCCTCTGAGTTATCTGACATTCATTGGTCTTGGGAAGTCTCTAACTTTGATAATTTTGTTATCATCTAGCATGATTCCATCACGACTAATTTTATGTCCTAAAAGTTTTACACTGATGAAAAAAAAGTGACACTTTTTTATGTTTAGTTTCAGGTTTGCTTGGTGAAGAACATCTAAGATGATATTCATATAATTGCAGTGATCTTGAAATGTTCTGGAGAAGATAGTAATGTCATCCAAGTATACTTCAACAAAATTTTCTTTGTAGGGTTCAAGAAGTTCATCCATAAGGTGTTGGAAAGTAGCAGGAGCATTGCACAATCCAAAAGGTATGACATTGAACTTATAGAGTTTATATTTTGTAATGAACACAGTTTTCTTTTTATCTTTATCACTTATGGCTACTTGCCAGTATCCACTTGCTAAATCAAGACAGGTAAACCATTTGGCACCTTGGAAGAAATCTAGAAGGTTATCAATCACTAGGAAAGAGTGGATATTCTTTTCTGTAATCTTATTCAATTTTCGGAAATCAACACAAAATCATTTCTTGCCATTTTTCTTTGGTACAATCACAACTGGAGATGTCCAGGAGCTGGCGGTAGGACTGATGATTTCTTTCTTTATCATCTCACCAATTTCACTTCTGATAAAGTCTTGTTAATCTGGTAATGTTCTATATGCATGTTGCTTGATGGGTTTTGTATTTCCTGTATTGATGGAGTGTGTGATCACAGTGGTTCTTCCTAAATATTGAGTCTGAACTTCTTTGGAGATATGTTTTACAAACATATCTTCATTTTCTTTTATAATTTGATCAACTACTTCTTGTTGTTCATTAGTTATTAGATTAATTTCAGGAGTAGTTTCTTGATTGATCACATGATCGGAAAGGTAAATTGTTGGATTTTCTTCAATTTGGACTTCAAGTTCTTCATTTTCTTCATGTTTCTCATCTCTTTTAGCATGGTTAGAGTAGTAGATCTCTTGTTCTTTCAAATCTTTATCATCGTATTCAATCTCTTCAAGTTCATCATCACTGTTTTTTGAATCCGTGATGTATTGAGATGTTTCATTAGTAAAGTGAGTGGTTGCAATCTTGACAGTTTTGTTCTAATGTTGAATCTGTAAAATTTGAGAATCAAAATCTCACTTGGCTCTCATCTTTTGGAACCAATCAATTTCCAAAAGAAGAGTTTCTTCTTGAGATTTAATAACTTGAAGCTTGATTGGAATGATCAAATCTTGAATACAGATTTGAACTTTAGTAATCTGATCCAATGCACGGACTCTGTTGCCATTAACAGTAACTACAATAGTTTTGGATGGAGTATCTGGTTCCAATCTTAACTTATACATCAGTTTGTTCATGATGATACTAACAGCAACTCCTGAATCAAGGATGGTGATCACAGGATTTCCCTTGATTCTGATATAGCATTTAGCCAATGAAGTCTTTTTAGAGTCATTTTCTGATTGCAGAAAGTTGGTTTCAACTGTCTTCTTTGGTCTCTTGAGGATTTTGACAAGATTCTTTCATTGGTTAGGGTATTGGAGCATTTGTTCCACAATAGCACTTGATGGTAACTTGAAAATGTCTTCGGAAATATTATATAGTATAAACTAATCAACCACAGACAGTTAAGATTTCATTTTGGCTTCTTTGTCTTGGATGTGGTAGGTTGTACTGGAGGAGGTTGATAATGAACAAATGGATCTTCTACTTCCATCGGTTAAGTAGTATTTTTTTTTGATCACAGGTTAAATTCTTTGGCTGATTCTGATTGTTTAACTTTTTCTTTCTGTTCTTTTCGATTGATAGTGTAAGGTTGGGATCTGGCTTTTTTCCCCATATACTGTATACAAGTTCTTCTTCCTTATTGGATGCTTCTTTATCAGAGATATCTTTGATTGTAAGATAGTTTACATGTTTGTCTTTCTTGACATATTAATTTTGTTGATAATATTACTGGGAGGGCATAGGTCTTTTAGATAAACAATTATGGGCAATATGTTCTACTTGGCCACACTTGAAACAAGTTCTTATATCTCTTTGTGGTATATATGCTAGTGGCAACCTAGATGTATCAGGCTTTTAATAGGACTTGCTTTTTCTTTCAACTTTGGCAAAAATATCTTCAATTTGGGCTGCAAGCTTTAGATGCATCTTTCGAACTTCTGGACAAGATCATCCATAGAATCCCAAGAAGTTTTTTTATTTTTGAATCCAAAAGTTTTTTCTGGTTTGGTTCTGATATGTTGTTCATAGTTAATGAGGTCTTGACCATTTTTATATTGTTGAGCAAATTGTAATGCTGTAGCAACATCTGCTGGTGCATTTATAGCCACAAGAGAAACAACTTCGGATCTTAATCCTTTAAGAAAATGACTAAGTTTTTGGAGATCTGACATGTTTTCTTCAAGATCTACTTGTTTAATAAATTTCTTGAAATCTGTATAGTAAGAATTCACAGATTCAGAAGGGCCTTGTCTTTTTCCTTCTAAGTTTTTAAGCCATTTGTTTTGCCATAGTTGAGTACAGAACTTGTTTTTGAATACTTCTTCAAGATCTGCTAGTCTGTAGAGATCTCTAGTATAGTCAGTTCCATTGGTAGTAACATATTCAATCTACTAGTCTTCAGCTTCGTCCTGAAGGTGGGCAGCTAGCATTTGCATCTTTTTTGTTTGTTCCTATTCATTTACTTGACTTGCTTTAGTAAAGGTGGAAAATCAGGTTAAAGGATCTTGAGTTTCATCTTCAAAGAATGGTTCCATTCGAAAAACTTAAGCATTGTTGTTGGCCTTTAAGTAATCAAACATGTTTTGTATAGTTGCCATGATATTTAAGGTATTGGGTTTTTTAAATAATAAATCTAAATTTAAATCTTTATTATTGAATAAATAATTAATAAGAGGATTGTCAGGGATGATGTTAGGAGTATTTAAAATATGTTCAGATAAATTAGAACTTGTATTTTCCAATAAATTGTTTTCAATTAGTTAAATATATCAGGAAATTTTTTAGCAAAGATCTTTGAAGATCTTTGGACGTAGACCTCTGGAGGACCTCCGTCATCGTTAAAAGACTCTGGAGCAAAGGTTACTATATTAAACTCCAGAGATCTTCAATTTATTTTAATAATAATAAAATTCATTGTCATGGGTAAAAAGTGAAGTACAATGACACAGTATGTGTTGTGTCGCGTAAATGATATGTTTATGGTAGAATCGGTGGGAAAGTAATAGTGGAAAAATTAGAATAGAATGCCTTATATAATCGTGTGGTGCAAAGTGATTAGCATGTATAAATATGACCATCAAATGAGCGAAATAAAGCCAAGTAGACTTTAGGTAGCATTTACTGAAAAATCTGACTCGAAGCATTTAGACTCTTATTTGTGTTTACTATTTCTATCAATTGTTTTCATGCCCATACCTTGCTCACGTGACTATACAAACCAGAGTTTGGCTAGAAAGATTGGGAAAGTTTTAGCAACTACAAGAGTTTCAGTATAGGACATTCAGTGTAAAGTTAAGAAGCGAAACCAGATCGGTCAAATCATGACACGCCTCAAGAGTTTAAACCCACATTACGTGAAGTTTACCTATTTTTGGTGACAGACTTGCTGGTTAGCCCACGACATTAATTGTCATGGACTAACCGTCCAGCCCACACTACTGGTTGTTGCTTCTGTTCACAATAAGGTAAGTTTTTAACTCTTGAGGCATGTTTCCGATTTGGCCATTCTCTCACTTTAACTTCTCTACCGACTAGCTTAGAACCCTTCCAATGCTAATTTTCTTAGGCAATCCTTGGTTCTCTCTTGTAGTCATGTAGCCAAGTTATAGTTTACTTTGGTACACTAAATACAAAGTAAGAATTTATCCATTAAATGTTACTTTATTGTTTATTACTTAATGCGTTTTAACTCTCAACTCGACTTCCCTTACTTGCTACTAAATGGCACATGTATTTATACATGCACCTGTTATTTACATGTTTACATCTGATCGCTATTCTACACTACTCTAGAAATTTCCATCAATAAACTTTCCCACACCTTAATTTATCCACCTCAAACTTTTCCTACAGTCGATCTCATAAAATACTAATTACGTGCTGCGACGGTGTGTTATATTACTGCGCTTATATTTTTACCCACGACATTTCCCCACACCTATCTTATGCGCACCGTGCATAAGACTGAATTAGAAATCCAATTCTCTCCAGAATTCGGTTGGTATCTATAGTTTGTGATTATTAGTGGTGGCAGGGTATCGGTTGGTGAAATCTCATTAGTGTCACGTGATATGCGGATTCCCTTAATCTTTTTCTTAGGTGACATTTCGACATCAAGCACTAGTACCAGGTCATGACAAAGTATACTCAAAAGTTGCCAATGTAATACAGATAAGTAATATAATTCTTCTGCCTTATCGTCCAATGTGTATGCCTCTTCCATAGTGATTAACTCCCCCGCGCCTTGGTCAACCTTTTATGTATCCTGTCTAATCAGGGTGTCATTACTGAAAATGTATCATGATGTCTCCATGTGCCCCGATCCCCTCACTAGATTTCCGTCGAGTGGTTTTGACGATGGATACGTGATGCAATTCTCATTGTCTAGTTGTGATTCTCCCTTATTCATCATCTTCTGTTTCTCCATCATTATTACTGTCAGCTCATTTGCCCATTTCTCTGTCTTGTTCTCTGTAGATCTGACTCCTGCCACCTCCCTCTTGCTTTCTCTTGACAATATCAGCGATTCTTCTAGTCGTGATGGATACATGATGAACTCTGTGATGCTGTGCTTCATCATTTCCTCCTCACTTTCTAATGGGATTAGTGATTCCTCTGGTTGTGATATGTCTGTGATAGGGTTCAGAGTAATCGATTGGATGACGCTGATGGGATCAGGTTTATCGAATGACTCATCAGTGATGCAACCTTTCTTCTTGATGAATTGTTTTCTCGTGGTCGGCACTATTATTCCCATTCTTTTGTCCCGTTTTTCTACTATGTTATCGTCACATCTTTCCATTATCGTTTCTTCCTTCGTAGGTCTCGCCTCTGTTGTTCTCTCTTTACTTCCTGATGGAAATGGTGGTTTCTTTGGTCGTAATGCCTCTATAATGGGGTCCTTGTCAATACCTGAGGTTTTGCTTTCTTCATTGCCCTCCGGTCCGTTGTTCTTGTTAGCGGGCTCCAGTTTTGACTCATTCTCGACATCAATTTTCTCGTTGTTCTTGTTAAGTGACGTTGTTTATTCTTCTTTAGATCTATCTCCCATTGGCTCCCTACCGCTTCCTGATGATAATGACAATTCACCCGATCGTGGTGCAACCTCGTCAGGTGGTTTTTGCTTCGTGCCCTCACCTGTAGGTCTCATCTCTGTTGTCCTTTCTTTCGATGTATCCTCGTCTTGTCTTTTCATCGATGTAGTCTTGTCCTGTCTCTTTGTTGGATTCGGGTTTGTTTCATACGGTCCAAACTCCACGTATCCTTCGACCCGCTCCGTGCCATCTATTACTTCATCTATCGTGGCGTCATTCTTGATGGCAAGCATTAATGCAATCTCTCTTCTCAACTCTCTTATGAACACTCTCACCTCATGCCTTTCAGATTTGATGCTATCGGAGTCGACTCTTCTTAGCAGATCCCAAACTTACAAGCATATGATGCCACTTTTTCATTCTTTTCTTGCTTTAGTTTCACGAGCTCTGACAGCCACTGCTGTCGCTGCTTAAGCATCACAAAGCATCGGAGGAAACTTGGCACAAAGCTTCTTTTGCACTTGCTTCTAATATTCCAATAACAGAAATGATCTTGGCACACTTCGTACCAGCCGTCCGCACGTCCCTACAGGTAATAAGATATCTGTTCTAATTTTTCGTCGCTTGTCCAGCCGTTGGCTTTCGCAACCTCCTTGTACGAATCTAGCTAGGAATATAGGTCTTCTCCCTTCTTTCTACTGTAATAAAATAGATAACTTAGTTTTATTTTTACTTATTTTTATCAAATTATTACTAGTTTATTTTTAGAAGTAAGATTTATAATTTTATTATAGTATAAATATCTATTTATAGCACGTGTGACATAGATCAGACAGCCTAGAAGGTCTAAATAGCCTGGAAGATCCAGAAGATCTACAAGGCCTATGATTTATGAAATTATGACATCGCGACACGTAGATCAGGCAGCCCAGACAGTCCAGACAGCCCAGGCAGTCCAGATAGCTTAGGATAGAAAACATTATATAAGTAGCTGCCATCCATGTAATTTTTAGTTAGTTTTCTGATAACTCACTCCTGTAACCGTTGGAATTTCTAACTCGGTGTCATAATAAAGTATTATTATTTTATTAAACACATATTGGTTACAAAGATTCATTGGGGAATCTTTGCCGTACCTTGGAATATTAGTGAGAAATTATCTTTGAAACAACAGACTGTTCTATATAATCTTTAATTCCTTCTAAAAACTATCACTATATAATCTTTAATTCCTTCTAAAAACTATCACTTAGATACAGATCAAATGGATTTTGATCACATTTTTGATGACAACGACAGGACAGTTGCCTTAAAGGAACGGATAATTTGAAAAACTGAAGAAATATTGTCATATGGAAGGAACAACTATTTGGAAAATTGGAAAAAGGACAGTCTCCTTAAAGGATCTGTCAATTGAAAGGATTGTATGAGCAACACACATCAGAATTGGATAACATTACAAATACCACTGACACAAAGATATTTTTCTGCCACCCATTCTTACCTTGATATCAGCTCTTCACTAGAATCAAGTGAAAACGATCCGACCACACCTGAAAATCATTCTATCACATCTGAGCAAAGCTTAAGTACATGACTTGCTCAATCAATGGATCGAGACAACCAGAGAGAATATTCATTTGGATTTGGATTAACATTTACACAACAAATAAGAAATAATAGTACTAGTAATAGGCAGTTACTACCAATGCTATGACGAAGAGAGGAACAATCATACCAGAAAAATGATTTCCAAAATGAGGAGGATGATCAAAACCAACAGGAGGAGGATCATCAAAGCAATAGAGAGGACCATAGTGATGAAGAGGAACAAAGGAGTCACACCAGTAATGAACTACCAGGACAGAACCCAGAGGGAGATTTGGCCACGGTATTACAAACTTGGATCAAACCATGCGACAAGTAAGGTTCCAAATTGAAATAAAGGAAACTCACCTAGTATCATTACCTACTTTTGAAGGAGAAGAACAAGATCCATTAGCTTGGCTACATAGCTTCCATAATGCTTGTATAGCAAATAATATGATAGAGGAACGACGATTGGATCTTCTTTCAGTCTACTTGAAAGGAATTGCTTATACCTGGTGGATAGAAATAGGACAACGTATTAACTTGTGAGACAGCAATATACACCCTGACCAATCATTTACTCATTGTTTCCATCGCAAATGGTGTATCCCTCATCAAAAGTCAAGGTGGATGAATCAATTAAGGAACCGAACCCAAAAACCTGAAGAAACCGTCGATAAATATTGGGATGCGATTATGGCCTTATACTATCGAGTAGATCTATCTGAATGGAGAATACCTGGCAGAGAATATTACAACAATTTGTCAGTGGATTAAGGAATGAAATCAGGGGACCAGTGTAAATATCTATTCCTGCTAACATGGAGGAAGCCCTCAACCGAGCACGAGCAGTGGAATCAACTTTGTCTAGGCATGCTTCCTTAAGTGCTTACTCAATGCTCCCAGGCTCCAATAATGCTGGCCATAAATTACAGGATATCCGAATGGCATTAACACAATTGACGCAAGGATTTCAACAACTGGCCATTCAACAAACCTCAAGAAAAAATACTGGAAACAATAATAATTCAAGAGAAATACGCACTTGTAATAAATATGGAAGGTGAGGACACATTGCTATCAATTGCAGATCTTATCAGTCTAATAATTCAAGGAATAGCAACAATAATAATAGAAGATCAAATTACAATAACAATAGCAATCAAGGAAGTAGAAATAGCTTCATTTGTAACAAACCTGGACATTTTGCAAAAAATTGTCCTCAGCGCAATCAACAACAGTCATCAAATCAAGTGGATAACAATCATAACCAATGGATGAATGCACCAATGGGAGATTTTTTGGAGACTGCCAAACAAGTCAAAGAGTCTTTAAACTAATAAAGGTACCTCTGAAGGGTGAATGTACCTCTCTATTGACAAATCCCTCAAATGAAGAGAAAAAAGCTATTGATGCAATACATTGTGAAACTCACTTGGATGGACAGCTAATATATCTTGTAATTGATACTGGATCTATCGGAAGCTTAATTTCAAAAACTTTCTTGGATAAATTGGGACAAACAATCAATGAACCATCTAAGGTTAACCTGATAGATGTTAATGGAGGAAAACGACGTTCTTTGGGAAAAGTAAAGGATTTACCAATAACTATTAAAGAAACAATAATACCAATTGACGTGGATGTGTCTGAGGCAACAACCTATATTGTTATTGTAGAAAATGATTGGTTAACAAAAACAAATGGAGTCATAGATTTTAACCATGGAATAATGGAATTATATTATAATGGACAAAAACTTCACTGTGAAATCTCTTATTGGGAAAAACCAAAATACAATGACTTGGGCAATGCAATTAAAAAAGAAACAATACCATTGAAACCAGAGGAACCTGAATATGAATTGGAAAAGGAACTGAAGAATAAACAATATTGCGCTATTATAGGAAACTCAGATAAAAAACCATTGGTACAAATCAATGATCAAACTATTGTAATTGAAAACATGAAAGAACCAATTGAATATATACAAGAATTGAGAAACTTAAATCAATCAATCATGGGAAGCAAAACTAGATCATGTGATTGAAAGGGACCAAGTGCTATTTATGGATGTGATAATTACTTGGAGGACAAGGAGGATATATGCGTAACTTGTCAACAAAAATTTGGAGATTTGGAACTTA